TCAATTAAACTCTTATGTTCCCTGTAAGCATGTAATGTAATTTCATCAATGTGTATTTATAAATGAAATGAAATTTGAAATACATTATCATAACATCTAAATTATGTTTAAAAACAAACTACTATTTTATCTTACTTGATGAATGTCTCTACTTGTTCATCTCCGGTATTGAACAAAGTATATCGATGTGCTTCAAACCACTCATGCTGCTCCATGGTAATAGATTTGCCTTTCCTTATATTCTCACTTCCGATTGGATGACCTGTCTTAGGAAATAAAGGTGAAGCATCTCTTTCCTCTGTTTGATTGTCCTCATCATCCTCGGTTTGATACCTACTAAATGTTGTCTTCACCATATCAGGTAGGTATCTCGAAATAAAGGTCAAACACACTATAGCTGAAAAACCCTCTACTATTGCCCCTTCTGAATTTTTTCGATTACGAACAAGCCCCTTGAAGTCACACATAGTTCTTTCGATTACGAACAAGCCCCTTGAAATTACACATAGTTCTTTCAGTAGAATACATCCAACGCAAATGAGTTGGGCCTCCAAGCTTAATTTCATCTACTAGATGGATAGGCAAATGTGTCATTATATCAAAAAAAGTGGAGGAAAAATCTTTTCAAGCTCGCATTCAATATCTATGATTTCTGTTTTAATCTTATCAAGATCGCTTCTTCTTATAACCTTGCTACATATGGCTCTAAAAAAATTTCCCAACCTAATCAATACCATAGATACATTCTTGGGTAATACTTTTCTGACTGCAACCTGGAGCAAGTAATGCATTATGAAATGAGCATTATGACTTTTGTATCCTGATACTTTCATCTCTTCAATTTGAACACGACTTGATATATTAGAGGCACACCCTTTTGGTAATTTGGCATCTTTTAAGACAGTGCAAAATAACTTTTTCTCTGATGGTTTCATAGAGAAACAAGCTTTAGCTAGATGGATATTTCCTGTAGCACAATCTTTTACAGGTTGAAGCTCTTTACGTATCCCCATTTCATACAAGTCATAGCGAGAATTTATATGATCTTTGGACTTTCCAAGTATATCCAATAAAGTCCCAACCAAACTGTCACAAATATTCTTCTCTATGTGCATCACGTCAAGATTGTGCCTCAATTTGTTGGTTGCCCAATACGGCAACTCAAAAAATATGGATTTTTTTTCCATGGACCATCATTCTTTTGTTTTCTTTTCTTGTTGTTCTTTCCAAAAACATTATTGAATTCACGAAGCTCTTCAAGAACTTGTACCCCTGATAATGGAGTAGGTGTAACTTTATGCTCCTCTTTACCATTAAATGATTTTTTATCTCTTCTAAATGGATGATCGGAATGTAAAAATGCCCGATGACCCAAGTAACACATCTTACAACTATGTTTGAGATATTGGGAGCAAGTATTATGATTACAAGTGGGGCATGCCCATCTCCCCTTGGTGCTCCATCCAGAAAGCATTGCTAGAACTGGAAAATCACTAATTGTCCACAATAAAGCTGCACGCATTTGAAATGTTTGATTAGTTACAACATCATATGTTTCAAGTCCGACTCCCCATAGTTCCTTCAACTCTGCAATCAATGGTTGCAAGTATACATCTATATCATTTCCCGGAGACGATGGACCTGGAATAATCATTGACAACATAATATTCTCCGACTTCATGCAACTCCATGGTGATAAATTATAGTTCATTAACATAACTGGCCATGTGCTATGGGAAAAGCTCATAGTTCTGAATGGATTGAAACCATAACTTGAAAGACCCAATCTAACATTACGAGCATCATTAGCAAATTCAGGATGCAAGGAATCGAAATCCTTCCAAGCTTCACCATCTGCATAATGTCTTAAATTTCCATCTTTAGGTCGTTCAGTATCATGCCATCTCATAGCTACAGATGTTTCAGAACACATGGATATCCTCTGAAGCCTAGGCTTTAAAGGAAAGTACCTTAAAACCTTCACTGGGATTTTAGTGACCTTATTAGTTAAGTCATTACGAACATTCTTCCATCTTGAAGCTCCACACACAGAGCAATTATCTAACTTAGCATTGTCATTCCAAAATAACATGCAATCGTTAGTGCAAGCATGAATTTTCTCATAATGAAGACCCAAATCTTTTATGACCTTTTTTGCCTTGTAAAAAGACTCGGGTATCTGAGCAAGTGGAAATGCCTCTCTTATCAGGTCCAACAAATCTGAAAAGGCCACATCAGTCAACTTGTGAATGCATTTGAACAAGTATACCCGGATGGTAAAACTCAACTTAGAAAAATTCTTACACCCCGGATACAACTCTTCTTTCCCTTCCTCCACTAATTTAGAAAATCTCTTTGCATATTTAGATGGTCCCTCTCTCACTCCTTTATGCCTCTGGTCATCTTCTACATTTCTAAAAGTATTATGAAGTAGTCTATCAATATCATCATTCATGTTGGAAGTTTCTTCATCATTGGTTGGATGTGGCGTATTTCTTGAGGAAAATCCTTCTCCATGAAAAACCCATTTGGTGTATCCATGAACAAATCCATGACAAATTAAGTGACCCTCTACCATATCTCGACAATGCCAATTACGATTAAAGTACTTCTTACAAGGACATAATATTTCATTTCCTTAGGAAGCTCGTTCAAATGCTTTATCAAAAAAATCATTAACTCCATGAATATATTCATTGGTGAATCTTCGGAGATTCATCCAACTTTTATCTCCAAAATCCATTGAATATATATATCCTACATGACATGTGCAAATCATCAAAGCCAATAAATTCATGAGTACAGGAAATATCAAGAGAACTTAACCTTTCAAAGTTTTAGATTAATTGAATATCAAATCTCCGCATCAATTCAACACCAAACAATGGCAGTATTAATAGTAGAATACCAAAAATATTGACAAGTTAAGTTATTAGCAGCTTCTACCATTTAAGAAACTTTATACAAATGAATGAAAAAAAATCAGAAGAAAAACTAATTATAGAAAAAAGTATTCCAATATTTAGTGTACACCTTAACATTTTTCAAATTCTAATTACCTTCCTATGCTTGGCTACTAAGATACAATAATAGTAGACCAAATACTTCAAATTGTGTATTATTTTTTTGGCAAAATGTGTAATGATTATTGTATAAGCTAAACTTTTTTATATGATTATATTTAGAGTTTAGACTGTCAAAGAAATCGGACAGTTGACGATTGCACCAATACATACACATTGTTAATTAGAAGAGTTTCACCTATCTTATGCATGCTACTCTCACAATCCAAAATTGCAACAGAATCATAAATAAATAGTGTAATCAGAATCTTCATCTACATAGCTACCCCTGAAATGGATATTAACATCAAAAGGTAGAGGGAATAAACTCAAACGCACACAAGAAGTAAATTCAGTGAAATTCTCTTAGACTCTAGCATGAAAATTCTTCCTGAAATTTTCAAATCTGATCAGTCCAGCATAATCAGTTTATTGTATAGAAAAAGATGACAAGTATCTTAGACTTTTTTTTACCTGAAATATATCCTGTGCGTGATTTTGAGGGGAAAAAATCAACTACATATCGAAATTTCTCTCATAAAACTAAAATTCACTCTCTCAAAGACTTTTGCTTGAGAGTTCTCAAATCTCCACCAAACATGAAATACAAACTATAACCCTAGATTATATGGCAGACCTAGATTAGAACAAATAACATAGATTTAAGACAAACCCATATATTATTCTTTACGATTTTTCAAAAATCATTCAATGGGGACTTAGAAATCATTAACTAGCAGAGAAAACATAAAATTTACTCACCTTTACATCCAAGAATTTGTTATCGAAAGACCAGTGGAGCTTCAACTGAAGTAAAAGATATCAATGCCCAAGAAATTTGTTGTCGAAAGACCAACGAGCTTCACCAGAGAGATTTCTTCACCAAGAACTTCGCTGTTGTTTCCTTCACCAAGAACTTCGCTGAGAATTTGTAGAACAGAACAACATTTGGGAAAAAGTGTGCTTTAATTTGGTTGAAAAAGGGTTTTATGGGAAAGGCCTTTTTTCTTTTAGATTTTTTTAATGACATATATATTTTTGGGGAGGGAAATATATTTTAGGGATAAAAATCAGAACCACAATATTTGTCCTAAAATAATCGTTGCCATAGAGTCATCTATTGCAACGATTCTAAAATATGTAGCCATAGAAACTCTATAGGGACGGTTATATGGATGATGCCACGGTTCATTTTAAGAATTGTTCTATTAAATCCAATGATATATTGCAACATTTATAACCGTTGTAATAGGCAATCTATTGCTACGATTGTATAGCCGTTGCTACATAAGCGTTGCAGTAAGTCAAATTTCTAGTAGTGACACATGAGGAGGGATGGCACACTGCGAAAGGGAAATCAACAATCAAACACACTCATACTGATGAAGATATGGGGCGATAGATTAGAATAAGAGACAGTTTCAACACAATGGAGGAGGGTGAGTATCTAAATGTGTGTGAAATTGGTTAGGGTAGTGAAGACATAAGGGGAGGTAACAATAGGCAAGTCCCACAAACTAACACTGGATGAATATAATAGCATAGAATGTGAGGGGACTAAATAAAGTGTATAAACACAAGGAGCTTAAGGTGTTTCTATAAGAAAATAAAGTAGGAGTAATTGTTATTACAGAAACTAGAGTTAAAGAGAATAATGCAGCTCAAGTTGTGAAGAAGATAACAAAGAATTGGATATGGCATAACAATTATGTTGAGGATCCAGGGGGGAGAATTTGGATATTATGGAATCCAATAGTGGTGGAATTCCAATTATTGGGCACACACATACTAGTGATTCATGGTTCAGTAAAGGTGAGAGGTAGTGACATGATATTTGATCTAAGCATGGTTTATGGCCTACATACATGTCTGGATAGAAGGGACATGTGGTATGAGTTGAATCAATACAATATGAGGTGCAGACAGCCTTGGTTAGTAATGGGTAATTTCAACTCTATTTTGCATGTTGAGGACAAAATAGTGGGCTCACAAGTTCAGGAGACAGAACTAAGAGATTTTAAGCAATGTTTACTAGACACTAGGTTACCAGAATTGAAGACTGTGAGTAGGAACTATACTTGGACAAATGGCCACACTTATAGTAGTATAGATAAAGCCTTGGTGAATGCTATGTGGTTGCAATCCTGGACCCATTTGGAGTGCAGCATACTTGATCCTAGATTTTCAGATCATAGCCATTTGTGTGTAACAATAGAAGCAAGGGAGAATACTGGACCTAAGCCATTCAGATTCTTCAACTACTTGGCTGAACACCCGGAGTTCATGCAGACAGTGGAGAATAACTGGAAATCACAAAGACAGGCTAGCTCTAAGAATGAGGTTTGGAGGAAAATAAAAAGGTTGAAACAACCTATGAGGGGTTTGAGTAATCATAATTTTCAAGGGATTCAATATAGAGTAATATGATTAGGACTCAATTGAAGATGCTACAGGAACAAATGAGGTATGTCCGAGATGATAACCAAGTGAAGCAATATTAGATGGAAAAGAACCTCAAAACACAATTGGAAAAGTGGAGAAATATAGAGGAGAGTGCAACCAAACATAAATCCAGGGTTCTGTGGTTAAAAGAAGGTGATTTAAATACTACATACTTCCATGCATGCATGAAGAATAGACAAGTACACAATCATATCACAAGATTGACAGATGCAGCTGGAATAGTAATGCAGGATGTCAAAGGTATACAAGAGGAGAGAGTGAGTTTCTACAGAGGTCTATTGGGTACAAAAGCAAAGCAACTAACCCCTGTCCAGCCTCATATCATAGAATTGGGACCAACTTTGAATAGAGAACAACAATTATTATTGATTGACAAGGTTACAACAAAAGATGTGTACAATGCTCTGTTGACTATTCAGGATAACAAGGCCCCAGGAGGTGATGGTTTTAATGCTCTATTTTATAATAAAACATAGCCTATAATAGGTAAGGAGATCACTCAAGTTGTGTTACACTTCTTTGATACTGGAATAATGTGTGATGCTATAAATTGTGCTCTTATCACTTTGATTCCAAAGACTAAGCATCCTCAATCAGTGAAAGAGTATAGGCCAATATCATGATGCACCATTCTATACAAGATTATTTCCAAGATCTTAACTATAAGAATGCAATCTGTGATGGACACATTGATAGATCCTAGCCAAGCAGTTTTTGTACCAGGGAGAGTAATAATGGATAACATTTTACTTAGCGATGAATTGGTGAAAGGATATGGCAGGAAAGGTATATCTCCTAGAAGCATGATGAAGATTGTCATGCAGAAGGCATATGATTATTTTGAGTGGCCTTTTGTTGAACAAATTCTGAGACTATTAAACTTCCCAACTAAATTTATTAATTGGATTATGGCTTGCCTCACAACTGTGTCCCATTTAATACTATCCAATGGTGTGCCTGCTAGTCCTTTTAAGGCAAAAAAAGGTTTAAGGTATGGGGAACATGTGTCCCCATATTTTTTTGTTCTGAGTATGGAGTATCTGAGTAGACTACTGAAGAACATGAAGTGGACTAGGGAAATGCTCAAAGGTGAACATAGTCCAGTTGGGTTTTGCTGATGATCTCCTACTATTTTGCAGAGGTGATGCCAGATCTGTCCAATTATTGTTTGATACCTTCCAAGAATTCTCAAAGGCATCAGGATTGATAGTAAATACCAGCAAAAGATCCATATACTTTAGAGGAGTAAGCATTACTGAACAAGATGAAATAATGGCATACACAGGATTTAGTAGAGGGAAAATGCCTTTTAGATATCTTGGGGTACCTCTTAGTACAAAACGACTATCCATTGCTCAATGTGAACCATTGTTGGAAAAGATACTATGCTGGATTTCTTCATTGACAACAAAGTTCCTATCTTATGTTGGTAGAGCCCAATTGATAAGGAGTGTACTGATATCAATGCAAACATATTGGTCACAAATTTTCATCTTACCAAAGAAGATATCACAATTGATTGATCAGATGTGTAAAAGATTTTTGTGGACCGGGAAGGCAGAAGTAACAAAGAAAGCATTAGTAGCTTGGAGTAGACTATGTCAACCTCAATCAGCAGGTGGGATGAATATGATTGATATGGAAATATGGAACAAAGTTGCAATCAGCAAGCTGTTACGGAATATGTGTACAAAGAAGAATAAAATATGGATCAAGTGGATCTATGCATATTATGTGAAGGGTAGATGTACTTGGGAAATAGAACCAAAGAAGGCATCGTGAGTGATGCAGGAGATATTTAAGGCAAACAAATATTTCATAGATGCTGACATACCTTTGGAGACAGTACATACAATGTCCAGATTGACCATTAAAAGCATATATCAAAAGTTACAAGGACAATTTGAAAAGGTTAGTTGGAAGGGAGTTATATGTGGTAACCAAGGTGCACCTACATGGATATTTATGTTGAGATAAGTCGCATTGGGAAAAATATACACTTGTGATAGACTGGCCAAATGGGGAATGGGCGTAAACTTACAATGCCAACTGTGCAATAATTATCTTGAGTCTATTCAACACCTATTCTTTGGGTGCAACTACACGGGACAACTATGGGCTAGGCTACTCAAATGGATGCACATCCAAAGACCATGTATGGAGTGGGAGGGGGAACTCAAATGGGTGGAGAAGTGGTGTAAAAGGAGAAGTAGCAGGGCTAAGGTTTACAAAATAACACTAGCTGCAGCACCTCAAAATAGGCTATATATCCAAATGTTTAGATGTTATCCATTTTCTAGATTGGTAGCGGAGATAGATGCTAAGATAATCAGGAGCTAGGTATGTCCAATCATGTATGTCTTTTATTGTAACTTGAGCTGTAATTCTTACTTGGTAATAAATATTTTTATCTACCAAAAAAAAAGAGTTTTCTTATGCTAAATTGATTTATGCATTAACCATTTTAAATTGAGTGGTAAGGGTTCTCCTATCTAGGTGTTAGAGTAAGTACCCACTCGATCCAGTGGATTGGGTTGTGATAATTTGATATCAGAGCCCAGGTTACCGATCTCCCACTATAAAAGCAAATGTTGAATAGAGTTTTGAGGATGGTTATGTTGACGTCCACATTTATATTCATGGAATTATGAAGCATTCTAAGAAATTGTTCCACTTCTTCACTCTTTTCATGTAGTCTGTCACTTACGATATGAATTGATTCCAATTGGTATCTCTAGATTCCAGGTAATATCTCTATGAAGTAGATAGAATGGCGTGGGTGTGGGTGTGGTTGAAGGAAACATACAATGAAAGATCGTAACCAGGAAGGTTCAAATTGGTATTAATCTTTAAAAGTCACGTGGATGCATGGATGACCAATGCAAATAAAATGTACCAAACCTAATAAATTTAATGATAACATTGTTGATTGTAGTTGCTTGAATTTTCGTGAGATTGTGGACAAGGAGAAGTTGTGACCTGCTTATGTGTGATAATTGAATGATGAATTTCTATGTGTTTAAATGATCATGCCTTGGTTTAGGTTCGATCTTGAATGTTCTGATCATATGGTATTGGCCCTATGATGTGTTCTGAGTCTGATCTTGGGGTCACGTTCAAGGACTGTATCATACATTTTTGGGAATGATCTTGGGAACTACTTTATTAACCAAAGTTATGTTTCTGGAGTTGTGGTGATTGTGGGGAGGGGGTAAGGTTGCATAATTTTGAAAAATTTTGGAATGTCCTCGTCAAGGCACCAAGTGGACCGGGTCCCTATAATGCTCCCATTATAGTGGGAATTTTTGTTCTATAGTAGGAGTCAATATAGCGGCGTGTCACTCCCTATAGTGCGCAGAGAAGAGATAGAACCTAAAACCATGTATTTTCCTAATTCCTAAAATGTCTTAAATCGATTGTTCTTGTTCATATTAATGCGCAACAATAGAAAAGTATCCATAAACAACCTTAGCATATAATATCGGTGACAATAAGTTAGTAGAGAAAATTGAAGGAAAGGTATCCTTCAAGTTTGGAATTAACTATTGGTAACTATTTTGACCAAGAAAAGGTCAAACACACTTAACTATTAAATTAAGTTAATTGTGGACTCAATTAACATTTTCAAAACTTATAATCTTTTTAGAAATACAAAATAATTCACCCACTAAATAAACAAACTTTCCACTCCCTCTCTCAAATGTTCTCCTCTCTCCCACAGAAGAAAAGTTCTCCTCTCTCAAAAATTCAAAATTGCTTTAATCGGGATAATCAATTTCTCCGGCAACTTTCAACTTTCGATGGCCGTATTTTGAACTTTCGATTAGTCTATTCTAACCATCCAAGGGAACAACGATTTGCAGGTAAAACTTAATTTTTTTGAAAAAAATTAGGGCTTTGTTAAGGATTTTTAGTTTTTTTTTAAAAAAGAAATACTGCAAAGAGACTATTCTGAGGGAGGTTACAATTTGCATATACTCTTCCCTCAAGCGCTGCCCAGGTTTTGTGCGATTCCGGTTAAGACAATGAAGTTTTTGCTTGTTTAGGTGAGATGGGGAAGAAAAGGGGTTTCCCCAATTGGGTTCCTAATGGGTTGACATGTTCTGCAGGTATTTTTGAAAAGAGCTCCTGGGTTTATATTTAATTTTGAAAAGGTTTGCCTAATTAGGTTCCTGGAAATCTAAATTCTCTGTAATTTGTTATCTCACTAATCTTTTGCCCTTTTTTTTTTTTTTTGCCATCCAATCATTTTACTTTCTTTCCCTTTATTTTCTTCAACCACGAATGCGTGCAGGTACTTGGTGAAAATTCTAGGAGTAACAAAGTTCTATTGGAGATGATTAGGTTAGTGTGCGATTTATATGCTTAATCAGTAATATATGCTTTGTTTTCTAGATTAAAATAGACATTTAGTAATAGATAGTACATATACGCGTGTATAGAAAATAATTTTGTACTGAATTGAATTTGTTGTTGCTGATGGGTGATCAATGCAGTTATATTTTAAATCCGGTGACTTAAGCTAAAATTGCATTTGCTATTTTGATAAAGTGATCCCACTGAAAATGAGCTTTTCAGCTTCTTCCGCATTTATGAAAGTTGAGCTAGGGAGTACTTGAAGAAGAGATATGCAATTTTGGTAGTATTAAGCTATTTTACATAAAAGGTAGTGGGATATGTATTTTCGGTGTTTTGATTGGGAATGAAATGACTTAGCTTATTTTTGTTAAGCTATGGATTGTTTTGATGAATAAAATTTATTTTCCCTTTTTAATCTATTTGACACAAAAGGATAGTTGGATCTCAATTTTGGTGATTTTATCACTTGGTTATGTTTGCTTAAACAGCATTGCGGCAAGAAATTAAGTTAGAAATGAACTTGGTTTTTGGCATGGTATCTAATTTTAAATTTTTATTTTCATCATCTTTATATTTTTAGGCTTGGACATTTGAAGCAATACCTTACCTCAGGAAGCTTTTCAAGGATTACTCGGAAGAAATTTCTCAACAAAGGATTCTTAGGTGGTTGTCTACCAAGAACAATCCAAAAATAAATTTTGTTGATCTCTTCAGTCCTCCTCATGATATAGTAAGTCTTCTATAGAATAACCTTTATTTAAATTAATTGATTATCTAGTTTGCTTTCGTTTAGTTTTCTTCCAATAAATGGCTCATCTATAGTCATCTATTGCAATAGATAGGTAATCTGTTGGAAGAAAACATAAGAGTTTGCTACTGTTTTGCTTTCGTCCAACAGATGACTAATTTGTTGCAATAGATGAGTCATTTGTTGGACGAAAACTTAATCATTTGCTACTGATTTACTTACATCCAACAAATGACCTATTTGTTGCAACAAATAGGTCATTTGTTGGACGAAGTCTAAATCGTTTGCAACTGTTTTACTTACTTCCAATAGATGACCGATCTGTTGCAACATATGGGTCATTTGTTGGAAGAAAACTGATAATTTGTTGTTGTTTAGCTTACTTCCAATAGATGCAACAAATGGGTCATCTGTTGGAAGAAAACTTGATAATTTGCTACTGTATAGCTTTCTTCCAATAAATGGTCCATCTATTGCAACATAATGATCATCTGTTAGAAATACAATTTTACAATAAATATTTTATCTATTATAATTTATAGATTAGTTTTAATATAAATTACTTTTGTTTATAGATTGTACATCCCTGGCTTGTCCCCACAAAGCAAAAGTTGCAAATGTCATTCTTTTTAACTCTAGAAATCATTGACACAAAATAAACCCTACAGTGGATATGATAAAAAAAAGAATTGGCTGGAGCAATAACCATCAAAAGGGAAGCACTTATTGTTCCTGGTGATGCTGATGATGGTGCAATAAATGTTGGTGATGATGCTAATGTTAATGTTGGTGTTGATATTGGTGATATTGGTGCTAAAGGTGGTGGTGAGCATGTTGATGATGTTGGTGGTATATATGGTGGATTCACCTATTTCAGTTGGTGGTATATATTTAGTTAATCATATTTTGTAATTACTAGTGACAATATTTTATATTTAATAGATGTTCAGTAATTTTACCATGAATTCCATTCTATTCTTAGATTTGTAAAATGTTAAATTATACTATTGGAAATAGACATATGTTGCAGCAAGTTATGAGTTACTTATT